TTGCACAGTTGGTTTATCCAACCTCCTCACTAAATGCGCGAACCTTGGACTTAACGCTATCCATCAAATCCTGTGCAATACTTGCGTCATCTTCCTTACACACTTTCAGCCACTCTTTCTTAAAATCCTTGTCGTTTTTGAAAACCTTCTCAGTTTTCCGGAGCATGCCCTTCATAAACGCCCAGATTTTTTTATTAAATTGGGCGAAGTTCTGGCGAGTTTGGCGGACATCGTTGGCTTCGTACTACTCCATCACCGGTTTCGCGTAATGGCACGATGCCAGATCCGGTCAAAACAGAGTGTCAACTTCGTGGGACCGGAGAAAGGACAGCAGGCCTGGAGGCATTCTTCTTTATATATTTGGCCGTTGATGGTGCCGGTCGTTATGTACGGCTTGCTGAATTAGCCACACCCACAGATTGCCTGCCACACTAAGTACTTCTTGGAAAATTTGTCGGCCTTCTTCTTCCGGAACTTCTCTGGAACATCCAGGTGGGACTTGCCGACGAAAAACTCCAGGCCGGGGATCTGATTGGCGTCCACATTAATGTACGTCTCGTCGTCCATTACAAGGCATTTCGGCTGCACCAACCACTCGCGGAACAGCTTCCTGGCGCAGGATTTGGCCACCGTATTCTCCCAAGTAACATTTTAAGTTTTATAAAATACTACATAGCTACTATAAAACAACATTCATAAAACCCTGATCAAGACTGCTTTGCCATTGATGCATCCACCAAAACCTCATTGATGCTAGAATCTGTCTAGTTGGCCCACCCTGGAGAAGGTTCTGAAGGATATATTTTCAATGCTCTTCTAGATTGATTTACTGCAAAATGGTTGTACGATAAACGCAATGAGATCCATTTCAAAATCGTATTTAAGCTACAATAAAAGCTATTTGGCGACAATTAAAACCATTATCCGAGCCATTTACCCTAGCTGCTTGCAAGGTTCACTAGAAAAACAACAATCTAGATAAAAAAGGATTTATAAATACCATACGATCTTATCAACATAACCAAAATAAAAACTGATCGTATAGCAATCCTGCCGAATTTCCAAAATTATAAAATAGTTCTCATGAAGTTGCCTAGTTTTAGTTGCCATATAAAACTTGATGCGAAGTGTACGTGAAAACATGGAAAAACTTGAGTCCGCCCACGGAAAACATCGGTTTTACTAATTATTATACATTAAGAAAGAAACACATTGTTCAGATCGATAATCAAGCTTAGCCAAGATTTTTGTTTCTCATGATTTTTGCATCCTAAATATTTTCTCATAGCTAAATTAACTAAAATAAAGTTATATCGAAGGAAATAGAGATTGAAAATCTAAGATTGTAAAAAAACAAACAAAATAATTGTAATATGGCGGAAGCATAAAAGTTGATTTTCATGGGCCATTTGTGAAAAATTTATTTTGCTCCATTACATGAAATCCATTACAAACTCATAAGATTTTGAAATGGCTTTTACGAAGAAATCTTGTAGAATGAATTATATTTATCTAAAGCTATTTTGCTTGATCCTAACCCGTTCAGATTTATGGCAGCATTTATGGCAGCATTTATGGCAGCATTTATCGCAGCATTTATGGCAGCATTTATAGCAGCATTTATGGCGGCAATGTTGCCTACAAAATGTTAAACGTCAAAGTTTGTTTATCTTTCGATAGTTGCGCTGTGCGATTCAGCGTTCTTCCAGGCGATTCTCTCCCGATGGCTTGGAAGCAGTTACTCAGAAAGTGTTCACAACATTTCGCATTTCGCACAGCTGTAACCTCGATCATTCCCGAAAAGATCCCCTTCTTCCGGATGGTTCTGGAAGTGCACCATCAAACGATTCAGGAATGTACGGTTGAATTAATGTTTCCCAAGTGATGACCCTTTCGCCGAACAAAATTGCAGCTATGGATCGGAAACCAACTAGTGTCCGCTAACTGACAGTTTCAGTGGTTTGCTGTCGGTACTGACGCAAGTTATTCCGATCTTCATCTATTCGCAAGGTCTGGAGAAGGCTGGTCTATTTTCAGACTGTTTTGACAATGTTTTATGAATTTTAAGACCACGCTCACTTCACTCTTCTCCACCAGATGCTCAGTCGTCGATGGTATCCGTTCCGCCGGACGTGCTGGTTCTTCTAAAGAACTAAATTTGACTGAAATCGATTCCCTTCGATCGTTAGCATCGCTTGAATTTTTCCTCCAACTTCCTTCGAGATATCCTTGTCATAAATTTGGTTTTTATTCACTATGAGGATCCATCCTTAAAGTTCAATTTGTAAACAGAGGATATTTTATGATACACTTTTAAAAGCCTAAAAGGCAACAATATATGCCTTTTACTTTCATTTAAAACCTAATGGTTTTATGATTGCTTTGATAATGATATAACAGGTTTATAGAGTATTTTATCAAGACATTAATAAAAAAAATTGCTAATGAAGTTTATGATTGATTTATAGAACAGTTTTATGGTGGGATTGAGAACTACTTTAAATTTAATTTTAAAACAAGACAGTTTTTGACCTCTCGCCAGACTGTAAAAGGTTTTTAAAACAGCGAAAAGGTGAACTACTAAGCAGGAACGTTTTACACTGTGAAATGCTGTATTCAAACTTAATGGATTATTCATCATATTATAAAACCATCATAAATCAGAGTGGATGCCAAATGATTGCAGAATTGTTACATGGGCTGTTTATCGGTCCGGTTAGGCGCCTTCTTTACCTTGAAGACACAAAGTTGTCTGCTGGACGAGCCAGACGAAAGAATTGACCTTCTTGGCCACGCTCCGAATCGAAAGGTTTGGATTGCGCTTGAAGTAATCCCTCGCCTTCCTTGCGTTCACGGGGTCGGTCGTCTTCGCTTTTCTTCCGCTGCCAGCTCGCTGCTGGGTCGTCTGGGTCTTCTTGAACGATTTACCACACGGACATGGTCGAATGGTCGATTCCAAACTGTTTCGCGATCCATCCATAGAGGTAACTCTAAGACCAGAAGGTCCCGAAGAAACGAGCTCAACTTTTTGGCTCAGCTCTGGTACTATGTTCGGTCCCAAGCTAATCGATGCACCCCTCGAAACACAGAAAAATCCACGAACCCTTCATTTTATCTGTCAAACTTTCATAGCGAATCAAAACAAATATAGCGTAGTACTTGAATTTATACTAGAATGGGGTACGTTAGTCGATTTGCTTGGGACCAATAGGCTAGTCAAGTAGTGAGCCAATTTAAAATCTTTCTTTTAATCGTTCTGGACAAGCGCGTGCAATGTGTCCCTTTTTATCACAAATTCTGCACACTTTGTCAAACACCGGACACTTCGACATCTCCAACAAGCTGCAGATTGTGATGTGCCTGCGCCGCGCCCGACGCCCAACATGTTGTACTCCCACGAAACTGTCGATAGTTATTTGTTCGCCAATGTTGGCTACGAAGATGTTGAAAGTTGTTCATCGGTTGCTGCGAAATAGCGGCCACTGCTGCTGGTTTCACTGAACCATGCTTACGCTGAAATTAGGCTTCGTTGAATTTTTCGATCTCGTGATCACGGATCATTCATCGATCCTTGCTAAATTCAATTTCTGTGTGCCAGAGCGCGGACTACACTATCGGTAGTTCCCTTCGTGATTGTCCTCACTATCGCTTCCATTTCTTCATCACAACTGTACTCACACAGTTGAGCTGCTGCACCAACACGTCGAACAAATTGAATAACGTTTGCATTTAAAAAAAATGGACAAAAATTGTCGATTTTTCATGGGTTTACCTTCGCCCGCACTGACAAAACTGCCCATGCAGCATCAATCATAGTAGTCCATGAGTCAGCCGTGATGGCAAAAACAATGAAGCAACTCCGTTCAGAAGTGTGCGCGTTCAAAGAACCGCACCCCGCCCTGTCGAAAACGGACACTTTGTGGACGCCGGATACTCCCGTTCCGGCAACTACAACATCTTGGCACTATTAGACAACCCGGTTCCAGACGGCTGACGACCCTTAGCGACAAGAAGTTCCAAAGGATGTTGAAGAGGAAGACCGAGGGAAAAGTGGCTACATCGCTGTGTGCGCTTGGCCGGGAGGTCGGTGCAACCGGCCAAACAGTGAAAAAGTACCTGGCGAACATGAACATACATGTCAGGAAGCAAAAGTCACGTCCACAGGTTTCGGAGCTGCAGGCAATGACACAGCGGCAGCGGCTGAATAAGATGGTCAACTCGTTTTTCCCGGCGAATCGCGACGTGGCAGTGATGATGGACGACGAGACCTCTCTCTCCCTGGATGGCAGGGCACTTCGTATTTTACTTCTCCCACGAAGAAAGTGAGCTCCGAGGTGAAGTTCATTTCACAGACCAAGTTCCCCAAGAAGGTGCTACTGTGGCTGACAATCAGCGAGAAGGGGATGTCAATGGCGCTCTTCTTTCGCTCCGGACTGACCGTGAACGGGAACATTTATAGTACGAAATGCCTGCCGGAAGTTGCGTCGAAAGAAATACCATAAGGGCGAAGACGAGGTGTTCTGGTCGGATCTGGCGTCGGCACACTACTCGAAGCGATCGTTGGAGGAGATGGAGCAGCTGAATCCGCCCAACGTCCCCCAGCTGCGTCCCATCGAGAATTTCTGGGCCAACCTGAAGCGTAAGATCTACTCCAACAATTTTGTCGCGAAAACTGATGAGGAATTGATATTTAAAACGAAGAAAGAACTAAAAAAATCATGCCTACACGTATGTTTTCGTCCGCCATGGCGAATGTTCCGGTTAGTTTCAGGGCGTAGAATTTTTTTTGCAAGGTAGCTTAAATAATTACCTTCCATGGGAAATTTATCAAAAGAAATTATCTGTCTTAGTTTTTTTTTATCACCATCCGAAAAAAAAGTTAAATTTTCAATGCAAACGTTATTAGGTATCTTCCTTCGGCAACTTAACTTTACTTCGCTGGGAGAGCAGATATTATTTTTTTCCTTTGGTTTTTTTTTCCGTCGATCTTGTTTTCCTGGAGAAAACTCCGCTGCGCGTGAAAAACTTCGGCATCTGGCTGCGCTACGATTCCCGTTCCGGTACCCACAACATGTACCGCGAGTATCGTGATCTGACCGTTGGAGGTGCTGTCACGCAGTGCTATAGCGATATGGCTTCGCGCCACCGTGCCCGTGCCCACTCCATTCAGGTGAGTTGCTTTTTGGTAGTATTGACCCGGAAAGAATCACTGATGCGAATGTTTTCCCAACAGATCATCAAGGTCGAATCGGTTGAGGCCTCCAAGACCCGTCGTGCTCACATCAAGCAGTTCCACGACTCGAAGATCCGCTTCCCGCTGGTGCAAAGATACCACCACAAGCGCTACAGGAAGCTGTTCTCTTTCCGCCGACCGGATACTTACTATCAGTAAACCAGGAGCCGCCGTTCATGTACTGTTAATTTCACTCTTTTTTAGGGAGTAAAAATGATGAAGATCCGTAAGACACCATATGAACATTCTTCGTGATTCGTTGAGAAAGAAAATCCGTGAGTGGAATAAAAAGTGGATCCTACTGGTTGGAGGAAGTTGGTTCAATGCTTCCCTTGAGAACAACTATTTTGTGAAGATGGATGAGTTTGAATTGGCGATTTCATGCCGCATTAAATTTAGCAATGACGGAAATTCGTAATTGAGTAATGCGGTGTGAACATTTCAAAAGGGCCGAATTGCTTTTGTAAACAATGGCTTTAGACGTCGATTACTCGCGAATGAAAGCTCACAGCTGGTAAACTTCGCCCCGTACTAAGTGTATAAGACTGGTAGTTCTCTACGGGCACGAGTCTCTTGAAACGGATTTCCCATACAACGGAATAGAGAAAGGGGTGATCGACAAATTTGATTGTAATTTATGTAATCTACGATACCCTGCTGGTAGAACATTTTATCAAGTCATGGAAAATACATCATACAATACTTTAAGGTCCAGCGGTGCTCAGCTGAAGGCATATGGTGGGCCATATTGCAAGTTTCTAAGTAAAGTGTCTTTAGGGATATTTGTGATTATAGGTACTATTTTTAATAATATTAGACGGTTTGGTTACCAATAATTTTTATTTTTTAAAAGCATAAAACCGAAATTAAAAACGCAATGTATTAAAATATGATAAGGTTTCTTCAGACAAAAACCCGCTGCTCGTTGGACCCTCAACGTGCGTGACGTAGTTGTCTATGTCCAGCTCTATTTCAGGGCTCAAGTTGACCGCACCGGTAGATTCGATAGAGTAAAAATTACCCAACAACCATATGCCCTTTTTCTGAACACCTGCAGGGCAATTCAGCGGTACGCTGGTCATCGGGCAGCTGCGTATTTTCCCTACAATTTTGTCTTAACTATTTAAACCGAATTTAAAAACAATCACCCATATTATTGTTTTCGGTCGAACCATACAAATTTTGTATTGTTCGAACGGTTTAAACGAAATCAAGAATATGGGTGAATAAGTAAACTTTACCTGTCTTATATTTAAAGTTTGTGACATGGCACAGAACTTTTCCGGCAAGCACCACCCAATCTCCTACCGATACCTGCTGCAATGTTGCATTCCGTACCATGGGTGTTGGTTCATTCGATCGTAGTTGCCGGAAGCGCTGTAGCCGATCACTTGACCGTTTAAGTCGGCCCGATGACAGCAACCAGATCACGAACGATTTTTTTATATTTAGAACTTTTCCGTTTACATGCATCCGAAAGGTGTGAGCCGTGCCATCAGGAACGTGGTGTCGCATCAGCTCCACGGCTTCTTCTTTGCTGAATACGTCCTGCACGTTATCGGCGGTTATCAGCTCCGGTTTTGCTTCCATGTCAATGAATGAAGGCTCACATTCGTGTTCGATATTATCTAAAATTAAATATTAAAAATTATACAACTGTAATTTTTTTTTTCAGTTTTAATCATGTACCTTCCGTGTTTTTGGAATCATCGGAATTGTTTAGAGATCCGAGTGCCTGGCCGACTGCGACAAATTCAAATTTTGTGGATTTATGTTTTCCGTTTATACTTTCTTTGAAATCAATATCGCCCTCACTGCATCCTAGTGAAAGCAATAATTGCGTGGCGCTATTTTCGGCTTTGTGGATCGCCGCCACTATTTCGAAGTCGGTTGGCAAGTGCGTAGGATGCGCCTTTTCAGCTTTCGCGTCCTGTTTTCTCATAGTGGGAAACGTGAGCGACTTGTTCCGATGTGTAATGAGCAACTTCATGTTCACTTTACGGATTCTTTGTTCGACCTCTTTGATGGTGAAGTTAACCGCCGTGTGGTTAACAGAGGTCATGGAACGAAGTTCTCTAAACGCACTTTCACATGGTTGACTAGAAAGATGGTTCACGATGAATTGCTCGAGACTCTCGCGCATGTGGACTATATGTTGTATTAGTCCATGAGCATTTAGCTCCAAAGAAATATATGCGTTAGAGGTGGGACACTGCTGAAATATTGTTGTTTGTTTGTAGCTCAGCCAACGCCAGGCCCGAAGTAACAGTAACGATGTCCTGAAATGAGTGAAGAGATGTGAACGTTTGCGAAAGCCAATGTATTTTAGGAATAGCAAAATAACAAAAATATGTTTTGTCGTACATGGATGGTCCTAATGTGCCAGTTGATTGGATTCGGATACACAAGAGGGAACACTCAAGTTTTTTTTAAACGGGTTTTTACGTTGTCACATTGTCCGTTTTGAGTCATAGATAATCAAATGGCCTCGCAAATGGCATACATACCCCCATTTAAAAAAGACCTGAGTGTATTTGTGGTTTGTAGGGTTGATGCATATATTATTTCACGCTCTAAGGGGGGAGGGGTGGTCTAAGATTGTATGACAAGCAATGCATTAGGTATAGGAAAAACGTCACGATAGGGGGGGGGGGATTTGACAGGGCCCAGTATAAAATCCCTCCACATCCCAGCCAGCACCCGAGTGATGAATGGATTGGTGAGGGACGAGGGTTAGTACTTACCACACCGAAACAACCCGATCAACGGGCACCATGTTCTCATCGGTAAAAGCTATGTATATGTTCCTCATCATCTCCAAATATATAGCTGTTCCCATGCTTCCAGCGACGGTCTGCTTCAAATGCTGGATTAAATCCGTAGCCATCAGCTTCAGTGAGGGATCAAATTTCATTTTGTCGTTTGGGTTTGTATCTGATGGATTTAATCGATGAATTCCTTTGCAGCCTTGCTGGATCATTTCATTCACAACGGCGACCGATACGACGAATTTACCTGCAAGTGATGTACAATGCGATATCACATCTTTTCATACCTATTAATATGAATTAAACGTTTTACCTAAACGCATGTGTCGCTTCGGGTCTAGCAAAGCGTGACGTAATTTGTTGACGAGGTGTACCGTATCTTGTATACATACTGGTTCACCGGTGAGGTCAGCGGCAAAATGGGGCTCATACACCTTACTAGCAAAGGGACTAGGTATCCCTGACCTTTCCTTCATCGCCTTCAACAGTCGTGTATCTCCATCTGATGAGATGCTGACCACCGATATTCCTACTTTTTGTAATTCGGCTTCAACAAAAGTCCACCGCGAAATCACGTCTGTGTATGTAAATCGATTGTCACTGCACATGTAGAATATACATATTGGTGAAGCACCAACAGCCATAGGTAGAGCCATAATCACATACAAGTATTCTCCGACATGGTAGGTTTGCATGTCATTAACCATTTTGATTAGTGTAGTGGCCTTGAGCACATCCTTGGATGGCATTCCATGAACGTCAAATGGTGCTACCAAGCCTCTCAACGAGTCAGACCGTGGATCGTATTCTATATTTGGGGACACTGCAGTCCCGTCTTCGCTTAATGCTACAATCAACGGATATTGATGAGCATTAAGATATCTCAGTAGGGACTGTACCATGATCGTTGCCTCCTGCGTTTCTGACGTATGGTTCACAATGTGCCTCTTCACTGTTTTAAGGCTAGGTAATTTCATATTCGCTTGTCTGAATAAATAGTTTGTATTTCCTCCCGTTATGAGATCATACGCCGCCGAGTCCAACTCCGTGGCAGTGTAGCGTATTCCTCTTTGTCTGTGTAGGAGAGATCGGTGATTGATTTCGTTGCTAATGTCTAGGAGAGGTCTTCGGTCTCCAGGTCGCTCGTCTACCCTACTTTTAAGTGATGTTCCCAAACCTAAACGTTTCGAATTGTCTATGAAAAGAAAACAAATGTTTGCGAATGAAAATTGTATTATTTTTTAAGTTGACTAAAATCTTATTCAATCAATGTACAAAGGATCTTTGTCACTATTTTCGTCAGGATCTTCGTTTAGTGCTTCTATGTAGTATTTCATAACAGTCACTAACGGTAGAAATAATTGATCGTTAGATCATCGAAATTTAGTGTTGACATTTTATTCTTACCTTGGGTAAGCGGATCTGTGACTTCTGATATGTTCTTAGCGGAGTTATCAGAGCTGTAGCTGGGTCTGTCTTCAGAGATATCGTCATATTTGTCCTCAGGGCTGTACTCTAGGATGTCTTCGTCCAGAGGATTATCCTCAGGATTACTGTCCAAAAATTCTATAGAAACTAACAAGTTGCGAGAATAGAAAAAAATCAATTTTTAACTAATTTTTCTCTCTTCTGCATACAGGTATTCCACTATAGACGCCCACATGCATCAGGAACAATTTATTACCAAATATATTTATTTTATTATTACCTTGGGCAAGAGCATCGTTGTCTGCAGTAATGTCGTTAGCAGGGTCCTTATCGATGTGCTCATAGCTATAGCTGGGTCTATCTTCAGAGATACCGTCCGAGTTGTCCTCAGGACAGTACTCAATGATGTCCTCAGGGATGTCCTCGAGAGGGTCCTCAGGATTATACTTTAAAAATTCGACAGAAACTAAACAGTTGTGAAAATAGAATAATAATTTAATATATAAATATGATTTCTAACGATATGCTTAAACAGTACAAGACAAAAGTATATGACCTGTTTTTTTTTCTTCCCAGCAGGGTTGCTTCCACTCACTTGCTATATTTTTTCTTTTTTTTTTAATTATGAAATTATTAGATGTTGTAATGATAATTAGTAATTGTAGGTTACACGAAGTGGTTGCGCTGATTGTGACGCTCTGAAAGTGAAATTGACAGGTTTTATGGGTGAAACACATTTTTCAACCTCTTCTTGTATGTTACAGGCATTTCTATTCTATACCTCAGAAAAATATGTTTTTGTAGAAAAGTGAGACGAAGCAACCCTGCTTCCTAGAAAAGTGGAGTTACAATTCTTACTTTACTGAAATTTTGACAGTTGGTTGACCAACTACTGAGCAATTATCCACTTTGTCAAGCAGTTTTGGTGTGACTTTCTACCAGCGATTTCACAAAACTGGACTAAAAAATTACTATTTTTTTTATGAAATGCACACATTTTGACTACTTTTCTCGTGGTTCTAGAAGAACCATAT